TACACTTAAGATCAGATGACCAGTCAGAAACAATAAGCAGGAAGTAACTGTTACAGCGAACCAGACAACACTCTGCCGCTCAACAAACATTCAGAATGAAATGTAAGTGGCTTCAGTATGCTCTGAAGATATCATAAACTGGCATCTAACGTCATTTCCTCTAATAGTAGTTAGCAATATGTGATCACTTGTGTATCCAATAATTACGTAGACAAGAACATGAGAGGGAAAAATAAAAGCGTTTTTGTTAGTAGTTGAACCAACTAGAAGTGATGAAGAGAAACCAAGTGAAGTTGTCACAGTGAAGCTGCAGGTTAGACATGAAATGCAATGACCAATGATAAGCGTTCAGACAGCACCGACTAACAAATGCTGTGCTGAGCTAAGTTTCATTTTAATGTTAAAAGAAAACTCGCAAAGCCTGTACTCAATCAGACAGCCATAAGTTATTTCTTTCAAAAGACTGTATTTCAGTGAATAATAAAAATATTTTGAAATTTCATTTTAATAAAATAGAAATCAATAAAAATCTGATACACAAAAAGGTAAGTAGCAATCTTTATTCACTTTCTCCAGTTTGTTCATGTTCTCGAAATTTTAGTTGGGCAGAAACCTGGACCGTTGACTGGATGAGCTTCTATGTTGTTACTGAAATAAATCGTCAAACAATTACAAAATAATTTACTATCAGCTTTGTTGTTACACACATCGAATAACTAGTATTGGTAGACAGCCATAGCGCGTATAAAAATTGAATTGTACCTCGTTAAATTGTTATGTTTTGTGTGCATTCATCAGTTCACCTGATATTTTGGAGCCAGATACATTGGTTATTCGATGCGTGAGTTGTCTGGAAAGGTTCCTGCTCTTGATCGCAGAATTGTAGTAGTTCTCTCTTCAGGAGTACGATATTCGAATATCTAGGGAGCAGCGGTCGTTCCATCTCCACAAACGCCTTCTTCAAAGTAATCTACGAAGTGAAGAACAACCTATGGAGACTAATATTCTGTCTTCTCCTATGCATTGCTGAAACCCTAACGATTCATTTAGGAAAATCGGATATGTGCGTACAAAAGGAAGCTATTCAATCATATCTAATATCATGGCTACAATTGTGTTGATTTCTACTCACTTGATTTTAGTTTGTTTGATTTTCTATTTCTGTATAACTCCCGTAAGTCTTTGGGAAAAGGCCATGGCACAAACATATTGCAGTATAACTTCACAGTATACATGAATACAAATGCATATAAGAATACAAGGACTCACTAGAGCATTCTGCATCGAAGTTCACCGATTCGTTGTGAGAATTCCTCCTTCGTATCAGGGATTTGCGACCATAATCTTTCAGCTACAGCAGCACCTCTGGGCCTGCATAAGTATGTCACAGAGATGAGAGAAGATACTTCATTGTAGTAAATAAAACAAGAAAAATTAGGTCACGCTAAACCTTTTCGTCAGGCTCTTCAAAAGTCGGTCTGTCATAAACTGGATGTCTCTCTGAATTATTTATTGTGTGAATTTCGCCTATGTAGCATATACGAAGGCGTACCGCTCAGTATCTGGCCAGCTGTACCATTTGTTGATGAAAATTCAGTAATGGTCATTTGATATCGAAATCAGTAGGACCGTCAACTTCACCCTTAGCGGTTAACATTCAAAAATAGTGAGTGGTGATATATGCGATACGTTGAAGACAGTCACATTGGTACCGAAAATCACAGTTCATCTTTATCATATCTGTTTGATGACTGGCTAACAATTCAGTCCCATCGATCTGTCCATCATGTTTCATCTGAACCTGAAGGGATGTTATTGAATGCTCATTTTCCAACAGAGACTCAGCGCTGGACTACTTTGTAATTTACTGCTTCAAGGGACATTTTCACTAAGTTATCTTGTCAATTCAAAAAATCCCTATATACGCTCGGTTCATTTCCACGTGACTCAAATCAAACCATTTTCTTAAATGGTCGAAAGATGTTAACGCCAGAAGTTCTATGAATGATTCACAAAATGTACTTACCATGCCAGAGTGATCGCATTGGTCTCATCCACACGTGCGCTCCACAGTGGAGCTTCACCACCAATGACTAATGATGCCTCCTCAGCTGAGCCTGTAAAAGACATGATAATTATTATTGTCATCGCAGGAAGTTAATAGACGGAATAAATATCAGTGTTATTTGCAAATTCAGATATACCGAGTTCACTGGTGATTGAAACATTTGAAATTCAGATAGTTTGGTTTCATATGTTAAAATCTGATGTGTTGTTGTCTTCCAAATGAGAGGAATCGGCACTACTGATAAATTTAGACACTGAGTGCTGATTTGGAAATGAAAAAGGCACAAACAGCGAAGAAAATTTTCTTTTCGACGATTCATTCTATGAGCTGTACAATCGTAATTATAATTAACAAAGAAATCGTTAGACCAATCAGTTACTATTAAATTTTGTCCTTGGAAAATTGTATTACATAATATAAGGTGTAAGAAGGGATGACTAATTGTAAGTTAGAAAGGAGACAGAAGTTGGCATGACGTTATAAGTGTGAGATAGTGAATAATCAATAATCTCGTGTAAAATGGACAGGAACTAGTGGAAAGGCTATAAAGTGTTTTTGTATAAAATATGTATGAATAACAATGTTATTAATAAACAGTAATAGAGTGGTAATAAAATGTGGATGATGGGGACAAAATGATGATAAAAGTATTAATAAAATATAATAATAATGGTAATAACAGTGAACTTACATAATAAAGGAAAGAATCAAAATTGTGATAAGAACTTTACTCTGGCCATGGTAAGGCAAGAGAATGTATGTATCGCATTTGGATGGAGAGGTCCGGTTTTAGATCTCGAATAGCTAATGCTTCAGCTATGTACAGGTGGCGAATCCGAAGTCCCTTTGTATGATATTGAGGGACTCTGTGTAACACTGTGAAGCATTCATGTGGGGGTGCTCGATGTCCAGAGATGACAAGGTGTTCGAGGATCGAGCTGTTGCTATTCTTCTTTTCTCCTCTGGCCAATCAGAATACGTTTTTGGACTTGACGTTGCGTACGGCCAATATACTTTGCTCCACACGAAATGGTTAGTTAAATAACTAATTAAGTCTGCACTATATTTGAAACGTCGTAATGTCTTGACAGAATTTCATCACTCTGAAATCTGTTTAGAAGTCCGATGTACTCAGCATTAGGAACAAAAATCGGAATTTCAACACAAATGTCGTCAGTCACTTCTTATATATGGATCAGAAACATGCGATGAGCATCGAACAATTCTGGGGACAAACCAATCAAGAATCTATTGCGCAACAAATATTTATGAGAAAAGAACATTGATACAGCACACTCTGACGAGACCGTTGGGTGAAATTTTATTCTTGGCCACCGCAGTTTCATCTTTATGAACAAGGAAATACTCTCCTCCATTACATATTCATTTGCATGGAAAATACTGACAATAATCAAACGCCGAAACTCTTATCTTTGCTCCAACTACAATATTTACCACTTTATCTCAATTATAAATATAACTTTCTGTCAACCCATCATCTAAACAGGATTTGGAAACGAGATCAAGATGAAATTTTCACATTCGTGTACAAAATTCATGTTGGGGATGCAATAACTGCAGGTTTTGTAGTCCAACGAATGATTTGCGTTCAAGACCATTGGTACGAACTCACTTCATAATGTTGGCCCTGTTCTCATCGCTACTGTTAGTCGTCACTTTCGAAATCAAATAGATGCTGTGGCATAAGCAGAAGATCACAGGGTTAAAACTTTGATGGTCTCACATTTTTACAGTACTAGTCTAACTGAGTAACTGATAAATTCTTCTGTCGCATGAAATGTCCCATTAGTAGATGTCATCAGGCTGTATCAGATCGAATGAGATTTGTGTCGATGGTGGAAGAAACTAAAACCATATGAAACTGCCATGACAAAGTTGGATTGAACTCACACGAATAGAAGAAACGCCACCTTCAAAGTACATTCTATACCTATTTCATCTTTTACACCTAAAACGATCTCAAACAGGCATACCACAGCAAAACCAAGCTGAGAAAGGTTTAAACCAGAATGATTCAATCAAACCATACGGTCTCGGTCAGGTTACTGATGATAATGCAATTGAGCAATCTGGAAGTCCAGCTTCATGCAACCAATATATTTGCTCATTTGTTAACTTAACCCTCCGAGGTACGCTGTATTTATAAATGATGTATTAATGAATAATGCATGCGAATTGTTGGTGCAGAGTGTCTCATCCTTCCGTCTTCATTTACGTGGGTTCTGACAATCAGAAGTAATTGACGAACCAATACTGGTGTCGAGCTCACTAATCGTCAGTCCTACTACTGACGCCAACATAAAATAATTCATCAATCGGCCTTCTTTCACATCAAGTTTCGGTTGAAATGACGCAAGCTAAACTGCTTAGTCGCAAGCCACCGACAGGCATGTAGTTACAAAGTGGCAACTATTCAGGATTATTTTGATTCTGATGCCATGAAATTCAGACCATCTTTCTTTCCATCTAACTCAATTTGAGCACTTCTTCCCTGGTACACATTTTTGTTGCATGTAAGAAAGAAATCTGAGTTAACATTTGCGACATATTCATCATCGAGAGGAATGCATACTTCATCAGATCTAGATTCATTACTGAACAACTGCTTTTGAGGATGTGTTTGTTCAGTGTTTATGAATCTGCAGTTAAACCACCCAGCTCACATAATACAACAACACTAAACGCATCCAAATGACCTGCATATTCTTTTCATTATTTTGAAATTCTTAAACGTCAGAATCCTGAGTTGTTACCTATATCACCGCATACTGTGTAATTTCAAATTACCAACTGATTCACACTGGTAAATGACAAATAAGTTCGAAATTAATCAAATCCAATAGACAGTGTCAACACATAAGTTTGGTTAATGGCACCATTCCTATTAAAAGCATACGGTAAACCAGCTAACCTCCAAATTCTCTGATATCTTGTTCGTAGTATTTTATCCAATCATATTCATTATATAAATCATTTAAAACCCAATCACCAGAAACTATGACGTTGAATTTTTTTCCAGTAGCCTTTCTGGAATATTCTTCCCAGTCGAATCTTCGCCAGACATGAATGACTGTGTTTTCGTCACTCTGTTAGATGGAATCAGACATTTATGCAATTACTGGTTGTTTGTTGAACGAATACAAATGTCTTTTAATGAGAGAAATTTACGATCAGATGATAATCTGGAAAGTGAGAGACACCTTATTCTAAGGATGAGAGATTTCACTTAAACAGTGGTTATAATGAGGAATGCCTTAACTGTCTTAAATGTCTAAAGCCTATCTTTGAGGAGGTGTTAGGTGTTTGTCTATCTTTAATGGAAAAAACACAGAGTTGACTCGTTTTCTGAAAACGGAAAGATGCAACAATTCTATCATGGAGTTATGCTCTACCAGAATGCCCAAGTTTTTCATTCTAATATGAAAGATACAATCAATTCGCTACTGCTCTATTTTCAAATCTAAGGTCTTTGAATTTCTCTGGAAAAAATATATAATTGCTGGATTAGTCACTTCAAAGTAACCGACGTCTTTCGTCTGATCCTTGGAGTTGGCGCTGACTGATTTGTAATAATAAAGATTGCAGCTTGATCGCCAAGCTAGATGAATACTTATAAAATGAGCAATAAGAACTTGACTTTTCTCCATTTAAGAATAAAACGAGGAACAACACTTGCCACTCTTGACGCTGATGTCTTCGGGAAATAAGCACAATTAAACAGTTATCCTGACTCTAGATAAATCACTTTCACATAATTTTATAGCAGATTGAACAAATGGCTTTGGTAATACAAATGACAGTCAAATCAATACATCGGAGCATTTCAATGTGTTCAAAATGAAGAATAATTGAGACACTCCAAACTCATATTAAATTTCTAGAATTCTTTAGAAACATGGTTAGATTTAATTTTCTTTATCGTATCTTGTTTTCACACAGTATTTCAGTACAGCAATATAATTTTCGGCAGATGATATCAGTAGCCCAAATTAAGCAGGTTGACCAATGATAGCAGTTGTGCGTCGGCAGGCGATCTAACCTCGGACCATGTGCACGTTCGATGAGCGTCTCAACGGCTGTGCCACCGACGCACAGTGGCAGGTGTGAAATGAATACCGATTTATTATAATTCAGAGTAGTGAAGAACCTGAAACGTATTTCATCTTCTTTGAGACTCGTCGACTAGATGTATCCCCACTCCACTGAATAATAGCACCACCAGTCGGACTGAGACAAAGGCATTAACACGTGGTGTCATCTAAGAGCTTAAATGTCTTAGGAAACCAACCGGAGTGGTTAACTAAGTAGGAAATCCACAATTGTTCAATAGATGAAACTGTCTCTGGTGGCTCACTGATTTATTTCCCACAATAGGACCAAATAACTTAACTCAGCGAGAGTAATGCGAAGATTTCAGGGTCAAGTGCAAAGATTAAATTATTTTTTGTTTTGGTCAGTTGAGTTTTCAGAACATAAGAATTTAGAATAATTTATCGTACTGAACCCTTTTGTATAACTTTCTCGAGAAAATATTAGTTTGCATGGAGTTTCAGCAGTATTGACTGACGCCAGACTCGTGATGAGCTGTCTGCTTGTATTGTCCGCACACAGTGTGACAGTTGTGCTGCCAACTCTAATTCTGGATGGCTTCTTGTCCGTCACTGTCTGCATGTGTCTGTAGACGTCCTCATTCTGAGTTGTTTTTAGGTACAGACCACTGTGTAATTGCAATTTCTCTTCTTTTTGATTGAAATCTTGTAGTCACATTCTTTCAGAAGATCGGTGTGCAGCTAATGAGAGCTTTCTATGTTGTCAGTATTACTATGATTAAAACACTCTCAATGTACCTAATTTCGTCTGAGTGGTTGGACTAGATTACTTACTGTACAGCTGTGAATTTCGAGATTTCAATTCCATTTAACCAGTGTTCACAGATTCCTAACAGTGTCATAACACATCTGGTTCAATCTGTGTTCTGAGCAGCCTCAAACAGCGTGAGAACACTTCATGTCCTCATGTTTATGCTCGACAGGTGACACTTCGGTTTAGTGGGCTAGTGAAGGCTTCCACCCACAGACGCAGTTCATCCTAGAAATCTTCTTCTACATTCCACCAAGGAATGAGTTTATTTTTCATATTTTTCTGTACATCAAAATTATCGTAGCGATGAAATAATTTTTTAAAGAATGAGGTTTCCAGCCTAACAACCAACTTTTTTCCTTTTAAGGGCTTAAGAGTGGCTGATAAGCCAGAAAACGAGTTCGTCATTCACAGCTGATCATCGAATCACCATCCATCAAACTAACCGACATCGGATAAGACCAATAGATATAATACAACACCACAAACAGGAAAATGAGAAATATTTCCACCATTGAGATCATGATATGAGAAAGAGTCAACGTGAACAAACAAGGCTATAAAGTTATGTTAATACTCTAAAATGCTTATGAACAATAGGCGTTTACTTAACCACAATCCACCTTGTGAAATAAACACATCTGATAGTGTTGTGTGCAGATGAAACAATTACTGCTAAATGAATCTCCCAGCACTTACCTGATATCCATAATCTAAAACATCTTGATATAAAATAGGTGTAATCAGAGGATTTCGGTCAGCAACACTTTTGACAATGTCGACAACTTTCGACACGTAATAATTAACTAACTGGGAAGAATTACCAGGGAATCCCATTTTTTGCATGAATTCAACTATTTCTGGATTCCTAACCCTAAAGAAAAGAACACAGAAACACGATAAGTTTAATTTTCCCATGTTCTTTGTCAGTGATTTTTAGAAACCGAATTTTCTATCAAAATAGTTATCAAAATCACTTACTGATGGCTTGCATTATTGCAGAAAATATCTTTTTACAAACTAACTTGATATAGAAAGACCAAGAAAGATTGGAGGAAAGACACAATCCAACTTAGTTTCAACTTCTGTGAGATCTATGAAACTAGAATCATGTAAACGAACTAGTTCATGTAAGTCGTGCTAGTGTCTGAAAGTGAAGAGACAGCCTCCTAGTGAAGTCGTGTACGACATTCAGCTAACAAATAATGTGGCATAATTCACTTCTTCAGTTCAGTTGTAACTTATGCCATCAACAGGAATGCAATATGCCGCAATCTATTTATGATAATAAATGGAAGGATATCATATCAATAAATTAGTTAAGATGATACAGTCACATCTGCTTTGATGCATGACAGGTCGTGATCAATAAGTAGTATAGATATGAATCAGCAATCTTCATGCCTGATTTATTATTCTGATTATGTGTTTCATATAAGATAAAATATGTTTATGTTTTATTGAAACTGTCGACGGTTTCATTAGGGATATGTGTAATTGAAGACTCCAAATGAAACATTAATGACTCACAATTGCCACCAACATTAACGCCGTTTCATTTTATTCGAAATATGCTGACAAATGATCTGCAATTATTCACACAGTCACATGCAAATTGTTTAGCTCAGATTCCCTTACTTCACACCAGTTCATCATGAATTTTATTCAAACAGTTTTATTGAAGGCTGATACAAAACACTGCGTACACTGTTCACGGTGTATAACTCATTCAGGCTAATCATAAGTCTTGAGAAATGTTCCGTCAAATGTGAATCACAATGCATACAATATTGCTTCTGATGACTAATCACGACTCAGAGATGATTGGACAATAATTGTACAGACAAACAGTACGCTTTCTATATACCTTTATTATTTTAATTTCAACTATTTTCCTCAAGAGATTTGGAAGTGTCTGACGACTGAAACACGAGAATCATTCATTTCAACTTGGCTGAGATTCAAACAAATATAAATTTTAAGTAGTGATAAAATGTGCTAGATGATACGAATTCAACCTGCATTCATCTGAAACAAGAAAACATTTTCCGTTAGAATGTTCTGAGAATTTCGGGATGTCTTAACGTGTCTACTCAATGAAATGTGACATAAAATATGAGTAAACTCACCAACAGGCAATATCGATCTCATTGCCTCCAAGATGAATATAGTTATCATGAAATCGGCTGGTTACTTCTGTAAACAGATTTTTCAAAAACTCAAATGTAGAATTATTGGCTGGATTCATTGGACCCAATTGTCCAGTTGGATTAGAGCCTTGATAACATTTTGTTAGTAAGTCTGGATATGCTTTCCCCCATGACAATGTATGCGCTGCAAGGAAGAATTGTGACAACCAGTGAAGATCATTTTGAAAACCTCTAGAAGGACAATATTACTTAGATAAAAATGGCACGGCTGTTCATCTGTCAACACTCCATTAATCCGCTTCATGACCTCCTTGATTTAATACAGCTACAAACATGAAATTTGAAAAATCTGCATGCGTCGGTGGCACAGTGGTTAGGACTCACGCCGACCATGCACATGGTCCGGAGTTCGATCCCCTGCCGACACACACCTGATATCTATGGTCGGCCTGGAGAATTTGGCTACCGATATCCATGCCTAAAATTCCATACTTGTACTGAAAATACGGTGCGGCATCAAGCTGTTATCAAAATAAAATAAAAAATATAGTTTCAAACCTAGTGCCTCTGCCGAATTCATGTTTCGACGTTACATTCGCGGAGTTATTTCGAGAACACTATCACACTGACTCAAATATTTACATAATATCATTTCATGTGAACACAATTGGTGGATAATTACATCATACCAAATGTCTTCAAACTTATTTACCTGGAGTATCAAACTCTGGAATGATCCGGACTCCACGGAGACGAGCGTATTCTAACAAATCAGACACTTCTACTTCATCATATGTACACTTTTGTGGATGATATGCACCCTGTTCAGATCAAGACGAGAATCGGAATTAATAAACACCCGAAAATCAACTCAACTTACCTTGTGTGACAGTTCTGGATAGGTGGTTGAGACAAACGGAAATGATTGGTCATCTGTGATGTGCCAATGAAAGACATTCATTTTAACCATAGCCATGATATCCTGAAAACAGAAAATACTATGATGAACACTACAACTCCTACTATAATCTCTCGAAGGGTTTCAACTGGCATGAAGTTCATGCCGGTATCTAA